CTTATGGCCAACTCAAACCCGCAGCCGACATCTCAGCTTTTAATGCAGATGCGAACTTGAAACCAAAATAATTGTTTTCGATGCTGCATTTGTTTCGTGGACACTTCTTCCAGACGCTATTGCTTTTCCCCCACTGTGTGCCATTCCAGTGAATGTACAATATTTTTGCAATTAGTTGACGTAATATATTCCAGGGAAATGCACTATTAATACTGGGTCTTCAAATATTCTCTCTCTTAAACAGACGGTGCTTCAGAAACATTTTCAGAAATGCCAAATTCGGAGTTAACAGGTCGGAAAGAATATATATATATTTTTTTTTTTTTTTTAACATATCCTGCAAATAGTTTAGTTGCATGAACCGTGAGGGGGCGCTATAACTTATGGCCAACTCAAACCCGCAGCCGACATCTCAGCTTTTAATGCAGATGCGAACTTGAAACCAAAATAATTGTTTTCGATGCTGCATTTGTTTCGTGGACACTTCTTCCAGACGCTATTGCTTTTCCCCCACTGTGTGCCATTCCAGTGAATGTACAATATTTTTGCAATTAGTTGACGTAATATATTCCAGGGAAATGCACTATTAATACTGGGTCTTCAAATATTCTCTCTCTTAAACAGACGGTGCTTCAGAAACATTTTCAGAAATGCCAAATTCGGAGTTAACAGGTCGGAAAGAATATATATATATTTTTTTCTTTTAAATGTAATTTGTCAATATAAGCAAATAAAATAAGCACCAGTACCGACACATTATGAAGTTTGAAATGTCATGGGAACGTTGAAAAAATCCCTAGCCTTCTATAAACAGGAAAGAAGAACAACCGATATATCCTCATCATAATCTACATAATCTGTAGCATTTGCACCGATTACATGCACGTTTAATTTCTTTCACGTGAATGTAAATAACAACGACTGTGCGGTTAATTTATTATTTAAAAGTTTAATTTATGGTTTCATTATTTTAATGTTTAACCCTAATTCAGGTTCGTTTAGACTGGTTTATAGGTTATATTAGCAGCGCCTCTGCATGCGTCTAAAGGTCTGAGCTCGCTTCTCTGCTTTGAATGGAGAGAGAAAGACAGACGTGGCGCCAGTGAAATGAAGCCGATTCTCTTCGCAAACGTCCCGTTGTGATAGTTTGGATGATAAAAACAAGTGACTTTTGTCTCCTTTAGCCCGGGGCGTGAAGAGAGAGAGAGAGAGAGAGTGACCTCTTCTGAACAGAGACAGATTCCCTTCAGATCTTTTGTGGGCTTTCAGCCCGCGCGCTCACCCGTGTGATCCTCATCTTATTGTCATTAGAGCTTTTATTAATTACCGAGCACTGACTCCAGTCCCAGCACAATCTTTTCAGCCCTCGCCATTTTTCACACACAAACTATATCAATTCTGATATTTCATAGATGCGTTTTTCCTGAAAATCGCATGCTCGTTTCAGTGCTCATCTCTAGAATGATTACAAGTGTTTGAAGCACCAAGCCAACATGTGACCCAGCTTCAATGATTACATTTATTCTTATAATACGAATACTATAATATTATAGGTTAATACTGGCATTTTAACTAGATTTGTTGAGGTTATCAGCAATGAATGGATGCAGAATTCATCAGTGATAGGCTATGCACAGTGAATGCTTGTCTTGATGGCTCTCGATGCTGTAACCTCTGCTCTGTAATGTGCTGCAGGGCTCCAAACTCACGACCTGTTCGCTGTCGTTTCATCCCTTCAATAAGAGGATTCCAGGCAAATCATTCAAGGTAATTTCAGGTCTAAGTGCAATCTTTAGTTTCGCTCGCTTGTTTGAACTGCTCACAAGACACGGTTTAGTAGATGCTGGTCTCCTCGAGGTCCGGCGCCAAGAGCATGTAAGTGGGTTATTTCAGAGCAATAAGCAACAGCTGTGGAAATACACTCCGGCCAGATGATAGACGACGGGTTAAACGCACTTTCACCACCACACTCAAAGACGGCCTGTTCTTTTCCTGTTGCATTTTACTGGGATTTATTTCTGTAAGAAATTATCTACCATTACCATGTGTGCGGAGCAAGAAACCTCTGATGTTAATCTGGCTCCACAAATTAAAATATATAGTTTAAATATGTGTAGAACTGTTGAGTGGTTTTAAATTTCATTGACATATGCCAGCCTCATAAAGCAAACAAAAATATGATCGACTCTTTAATCTGCTTTGCATGATTTTGAAGGAGTTAGGAATTTTGTTTGTTTGGGTGATTTTATGGTTTTTGCATTGAGTCATCATCAAATTAGGAAATATTTTGCTTCCATTTTGGGACGTGTTTTAGAATCCCTCTCACAATCTAGACCATGTTTCTGCGAAACAAAGGAGAAAACAAAGAATAGACCATTTGTCATTAATTTATTTAACAAATATATTCATCATATAAATGGTATTTGTCCAAATGTACAATATTTTACATTTCAGATCCCTATCGAAGGGAATCATTTAAACAACAGTCGGTGTTTATTTTTGCTATCGTTTAAAACATTGAGGCGAGTTTGAATCATAAGCGCATCGCTACGAATGCAAGTGTGAGATACGGGCTGTTTTCACCTGACCTACCTTTGACCAAATCTGTGTGCATAAGTCTCTGTGACAGTACAGGCCGTGTGCAATGCCTCCATTAGAGTAAAGCAGGTCCACTTTTGTCGGAACAGAGTCGCTGAAGATGCAGAGAAAGTCGCATCAGATGCACTCGGGCGTCCTTTAAGCTAAATGGTACATGCTGTATCCCATGTGTGTGTAGAGCCCCACCGGAGCCACGCTCAGCGAGTGTCTGTGGAACGGAGGCGATGCCGTGTATGAAGCGGCGTGAGCGCCGAATGGAAATGTAATCCCGAAGGCGGGAGGAAGCATCGGTTTAGAGGCCATCTTGATCTTCTCGAGCTCGGCCTCCTGGAGCCGCTTGGCTTTAGCTCGTCTGTTCTGGAACCAGATCTTCACCTGAGTCTCGGTCAGGCTCAGCGAGCTGGAGAACTCGGCCCGTTCTGCGATGGACAGGTACTGTTTCTGACGGAACTTCCGCTCCAGCGCCAGCAGCTGCGACGTGCTGAACGGGGTCCGAGGCTTCCGGTTGGTTTTGTGTTTTCTCAGAGGACACGCGGGAGGACTGAGACGCCCTGGAGACAACAACAACACACTGACCTTTACACGCATCTCTCACACTACTTTACAGCTCTGCAGATCTATTACGGTCACACCAAACCTCATAATGCCAATATAATGAGATTTAGGTATTGCATTAAACGTGCTTCACGTAAACATAATAGGCTACTTAGATCAAACTGATGCAAATGTGTCCCTGCAGCACAAAAGCAGTGTTGAGTCGCTGGGGGATATCAGCGCCAGCAGCTGCGACGTGCTGAACGGGGTCCGAGGCTTCCGGTTGGTTTTGTGTTTTCTCAGAGGACACGCGGGAGGACTGAGACGCCCTGGAGACAACAACAACACACTGACCTTTACACGCATCTCTCACACTACTTTACAGCTCTGCAGATCTATTACTGTCACACCAAACCTCATAATGCCAATATAATGAGATTTAGGTATTGCATTAAACGTGCTTCACGTAAACATAATAGGCTACTTAGATCAAACTGATGCAAATGTGACCCTGCAGCACAAAAGCAGTGTTGAGTCGCTGGGGGATATTTGTAGCAATAGCCAACAATACATTGTATGGGTCACAATTATACATTTCTCTTTTATGCCAAAAATCATTAGGATATTAAGTAAAGATCATGTTCCATGAAGATATTTAGTAAATCTCCTACCGTAAATATATCAAAACTTAATGTTTGATTAGTAATATGCATTGCTAAGAACTTCATTTGAACAACTTTAAAGATGATTTTCTCAATATTTAGATTTTTTTGCACCCTCAGATTCCAGATTTTCAAATAGTTGATGTATACATCTTATGACTGGTTTTATGGTCCATGGTCACAAATATGTTCATAATAGTATCAATCATAATCGTAGTAGAATATGCCGATTTTAATCTCAATAAACAGGCATTTAAATGTCTTAAGTTTTTGGAAGAAATCACATTATTGGTGCACTTAAACATGGTCAGTGCAGTCTTAAACGCCTTTAAGAACTTTTAAATATGTCTTAGATAATTTTGTTGGGCAGATTTAGTGTATAATAATTCATCAATGTTTCTGGTGACCTCAATCAAGCCAAACCAAGTCCCTTATAAAAATTTACCATGGTTTGAATATTAACCATATAGTTTACTCAAGGTATTTGTAGTGAAACTGTAATTATACAAATGGTAAACAACCACATATTTATACAAAGAATTCGAAATTTGTACATTTGTAAACTGCACACTTGTAAATAACATCTGTACGTTCATTTAAATAATGAAATTCTAATTATTTGACTATAATAAAACTATGATTAATTTTGGTAAAGGGAGGGCCTCTGTGCACGTTGTTGCAGATATGAATCTGAGCTCATTGGAAGAAATCACATTATTGGTGCACTTAAAGATGGTCAGTGCAGTCTTAAACGCCTTTAAGAACTTTTAAATATGTCTTAGATAATTTTGTTGGGCAGATTTAGTGTATAATAATTCATCAATGTTTCTGGTGACCTCAATCAAGCCAAACCAAGTCCCTTATAAAAATTTACCATGGTTTGAATATTAACCATATAGTTTACTCAAGGTATTTGTAGTGAAACTGTAGTTATACAAATGGTAAACAACCACATATTTATACATAGAATTCGAAATTTGTACATTTGTAAACTGCACACTTGTAAATAACATATCTGTACGTTCATTTAAACAATGAAATTCTAATTATTTGACTATAATAAAACTATGATTAATTTTGGTAAAGGGAGGGCCTCTGTGCACGTTGTTGCAGATATGAATCTGAGCTCATATGTACCAGTTCAAAGCATGCAACAGTTAATTGCTCCACAAGCTCAGCTTTGGCCAGTGCACTGCTGTAACTCACGGGGAGAGAGGTGCTGCATCCACGCGCTCCGCTCCGGCGTCTCCGACAGCTTCAGAACGTCAACGGAGAACGCCAAACGAGCCCCGGGCCGCTCCGGTTCCGCGTGAGCATGCGACGCTCCGGCGGAGGAGCTCGGTCTCCGTTCTGCCATCAGAGCCTCGACGCTGAACGGGAGAATCTTCGGTTTCTCTGCGTCCTCCTCCACACCGATGCTGGTCTGCATCTCTCCTTTATCTCCTAGCATCACACGGGAATGATCTTCAGCTTCACAACGAGTAGAAGTCATGGTGGTGACTGGGCCATGCACGAGTTTCACTCGGTTGTTAGTATACAGTGAGAGATGCTTAGAACATGCTGCTGTTTAACTCCTCTGTAAGCTAATAACACGCGCGTCATCCAATCAGAACAGAGCGGGGCGGGGCTTAAGTTTCTGCTGAAGTTTGACTGTCGTGTCGCGTTTGTGTATCTGTGGAGTATTGCAACAAACACACCGCGCAAAATAAAGGAGGATACTGCATGTTGTAATGCATCCTACTTTTCAAGTGTTATGAAATAAACGATAAATAACTGCAGTGACAATTGCTGTTTGTGACTACAATACCGCGATGTGTCTCTACAGTATCAGCTCCAGTAATTGCTGAACATACTCAATCAGTGGTGATTACCGAGGTAATTAGTCTCGGCGATGTTGCTTTTCGGCGCCAGCAGCGGCGGGATCAAAGCGCGGAACTTTAACCCTCGCGAGCCGCCGCAGGACTTTCAGAGTTTCTTAAACGCCATTTACAAGCTCTCTCTCTCTGTTTACTAGCTGCTGTAATAGAGCAGATCAGAGATTGCATGACAGGAGAGTTAGGCAAATTAACTGCTTCGCAACACGAATATGAATAATAAATCAGCGTGAAGTGTAAGTTCCTGAATGCAATGTTTTCAGTTTACTGCATGCTGTGGCTTAAAGCAGCTCTCCTCTTTCGTAAACTGCATTTGGTTGTAACTGATCAAAATTACACGCAAGCGGTAATTTAGCTTTTCCTTAATTTGGCATCCGGCAGTTAAACGGAATGCATCTGTAATGCTGCTTGGAGACACTCAGAGCCCATTAGATGAGAGGAGCGGCGCTTTGAAGCCTCGCGCGGCGGGAGTGTTTGATCCTTCCGCAGTAAAAGCGAGCAACACAAGCGCAGACCTGCACTCACGAGGAGCTGTTTGTGTTAGTGCTTGTGCTTGTGCTTGTGTTTGTGCTTGTGTTAGTGCTTGTGTTTGTGTTTGTGCTTGTGCTTGTGTTAGTGCTTGTGTTAGTGCTTGTGTTTGTGCTTGTGTTAGTGCAGGGAACAGATCAGCGTGCCAAACACTGCGCTCTCGGGCCGCTGATGTGCCGTGGAGAAGGTGGTTACCATAGCTTTCATTGAAACCTCAGGGCAACAAATGAGGGCTGAACTGCGATGCAAAGCGACTGTAAGTCCCATCAGAGCTTTGTGTAACTCCACAAACTCCACCTTTGATTCGAGTCTGGAGGCAGGCACGCGAGACAAAGAGCCTTTGTCGTCTCTCTCCGAGAGTTGTCTTAGGCCTTTTCATGCAGAGTCTGTCAATTCTGACTTAAAAGACTTGAAAGGTTCCGTGGATATCAAAAGAGGGTCCGAGGGAAACGGGTTTCGGGGTCTTCGCGGAACATGTGTGTCCCATTAAGCTGCTTAACCCGCACAAACCCATGCGCTGTAGAGTCGTGTGGTTTACACGATGGCGAATCCTCGGATATAAGCGACGCGTCGCGACGTGATGATGCTGTCGCTGAAGATGAAAGACGCGATCATTACAGATAATGGCTCCTATTTCAAACAATTAGCGCGATCAGGCGTAGAGGGCCACTCCATGCCTTAAGGTTATTTAAGTCAGTTCATCTCTCTCGCTCTCTTTCTCTCTCTCTTTCTCTCTCTTTCTCTTTCTCTTTCTCTCTCTCTCTCTCTCTCTCCCTCTCTCTCTCCCTCTCTCTCTCTCTCTCTCTCTCTCTCTCTCACTCTCTCCCTCTCTCTTTCTCTCTCTCTCTCTTTCTTTCTCTCTCTCAAAATGCAAGCAGATTTATTGGCAGAGTAAACACTTTTGATAACATAGAGGCTACACATTTACATGCTCTATTTACACTCTTACAAATAAAGGTTCTTCAAGCGATTCCACAAAATAACCATTTTTGGTTCCACAAAGAAACATTCAGTCAAAGGTTCTTTAAAGAACTATTTATTTCTTACCTTTTTATAATCTGGAGAACCTTCTTTTGCCACAAAGAAACAGAAAGGTTCTTCAGACACAAAGGTTCTTCTGTGGCATCGTGAAGCAGCTTTATTTTTAAGAGTGTGTGATGTTCGATAAAACAATAGCTTTAATCTCTCTGCGACAGGATTGTTCAGTTCATTTGTAACTTGGTGGTTCTATGAGAGTTATTTATATTAGAAATGTTTAAATGTGTCTGCAGGCAGCAGAGTAAAGATGCAGAAACCGAACCTCAACCTGTTCAAAACATTGATTTATTCAGGATCGAAACAACTGTCTTTGTTAGCCAGTCATTGAAATGTTAGGTTTTTTATTCAAAAGCATTGCTGCAGTGAGGAAAGGCTGAGTAAGTCACTCATAGTGTTGATTTTACATTTACACAAAAAGAGTTTGGTTTATGAGTTAGCACATTATGCTATATCAGTGCTGTGTTTCGCTCAAACATCACTCTGATTCCAGCGCATTGCTGTTAATAAACCGAAGCAGAACATGTATTTGTCGGAATGCGAGTATATTGTAACGAGTTAATATTCTGCTTTTATTTACTGAAAAAACCCTAAACGTCAGAATCGTGATCTCCATTTTAAGCACAGTTTATCCAGCCTCTTGCAGATTTGTATTTTAGAATTTTAGGCTATTATTATTATTATTATTATTATTATTAT